AGGATCACAAGGCGGAATATCAAAAATACGCCATTGACGAAATGGCAGCAAGTCAAAATAAAACTTTGCTCCGTTTACCTCCATACCATTGCGAGCTCAATCCCATTGAGCTCATATGGGCAGAGGTTAAAAATTATATAGCTAAGCACAATACAACTTTTAAATTTTGTGACCTCAAAGGACTTTTCAAAGAAGCACTAGAATTAATAACAGCGCAAAAATGGGAAAACTGTATTAAGCACGTGAAAGACAAAGTTGAAAAGAGAATGTGGGAACTGGACAATATCTTAGAGGAACAAGTCGAGCCATTCATTATTGACGTTGGTGCTTCAGGCAGTAGCGATGATGAAAGCTCATCTTTCCAATAAAAGATGTCGTTCATCAAATTCGGTAAGTTATAAGTAATTATAAAGCTACTGTATTTTTTAATTAATTATTGACATTTTTGAACCCATTTTGGCAAAACCTATTCAAGAATCTACTTTCTGACAATGTTCAACCATGCATATTTTTTTACGTTTTGAACGTTTTAATTTGGTTACATATTTACCTAGAAATCAAAAAATATACTAATCAATATTCCAAAAGCAATTTTAAGAGATATATGATTATTTTTAATTTAGGCTAATTTAAACGCCATTTTGAGATTATATTCGACTGTATTTCACCAAACATCAGGCGGCATCCGAAGCTGGAAATCGAAGCGAAAATTTTGAAACCCTTATGTATATTTACATCATTATATATTTCTTACCCCACCCCCACATGATCCTATATCCATCACCAATCGTATACACATCGAATTGTGCTAATTTACTACAAAGTTACGCAAAGCAGCAAGACTTTGAAAAGCCGCTTCGTCCCGTGTAAGTAATAAATCACAGTTAAAACAAACACGTGATATATCGTTTATCACAAAAGCAGAGTGGTTCAGCTCCTCACGGTACCTCATAGCAATCTCCACTTTTGGATTTGGGAAAGTTTCTCACAAGTCGCATGGTTCGAATAGCGAAAACTTTATTACACGCATAACATGGAAAACTAAACAGAAAATGTTTGTGCAGTACTTAGTAATGAACTGTTTGTAGATTGCAACAAGTAACGATTAACCTAAGAATATCCTCTCAGAACAACGTATTCGATCAATATCCCTTATATAGAAAAATGCACTAGGAGCGGTCACTGTCATCGCTCTTGTTGAGTCGTGGCCGGTTAACAGATTCATCGGCCTACCTGCTATTAAACTTCAATGAGTCTAATTCTTCCAACCCCAATGGAAAAGGGATGTGGTTCCAATTATATGTGATGTTTGAGACATTTTTTCAGGATGACGCGATACATGAGATTTCAAAAATTATTCATATCATGTTAAGCGAAACTACTCACCGCGGTGATTCTAGCAACAACGGCCAGCCAGCAACAAACGATAGTCCCTCTTCTCACCAGCGGCCGCGTCGCGCTGGACACCATCGCGCGTCGCTACAGCAGCGAAGCCGGCGCAACGTAAGCAGGCGGTGCGGCACCGTCTTCCCATGTAAAACGGTGTTATAGTATCTACACAAAATTATATACATTGTGTGTTGTCAGTGTTATCACACTATATATCACATTCCGTGGCCGGGGCAATTTAAGCCTACCAGAGGGAGCGAAAGTTACCTATACGAAACGCACATGGAAATTTGAAAATTAAAATTCTCAATTTTTCTTCAAATCAACACCACTTTTTTTTCACGAAAATCAATTCTACAATGCATCCTTCATATCCGGGATCGATTACATCTCGTGGCCGGGGCATATTAAGCCTACCAGAGGGAGCGAAAGTTACCTATACGAAAAGCACATGGAAATTTGAAAATTAAAATTCTCAATTTTTCTTCAAATCAACACCACTTTTTTTTCACGAAAATCGATTCTACAATGCATCCTTCATATCCCGGATCGATTACATCTCGTGGCCGGGGCATACTAAGCCTACCAGAGGGAGCGAAAGTTACCTATACGAAAAGCACATGGAAATTTGAAAATTAAAATACTCAATTTTTCTTCAAATCAACACCACTTTTTCTTCACGAAAACCAATTCTACAATGCTTCCTTCATATCCGGGATTGATTACATCTCGTGGCCGGGGCATATTAAGCCTACCAGAGGGAGCGAAAGTTACCTATACGAAAAGCACATGGAAACTTGAAAATTAAAATTCTCAATTTTTCTTCAAATCAACACCACTTTTTTTTCACGAAAATCAATTTTACAATGTATCCTTCATATCCGGGATCGATTACATCTCGTGGCCGGGGCATATTAAGCCTACCAGAGGGAGCGAAAGTTACCTATACGAAACTCACATGGAAATTTGAAAATTAAAATTCTCAATTTTTCTTCAAATCAACACCACTTTTTCTTCACGAAAATCAATTCTACAATGCTTCCTTCATATCCGGGATTGATTACATCTCGTGGCCGGGGCATATTAAGCCTACCAGAGGGAGCGAAAGTTACCTATACGAAACTCACATGGAAATTTGAAAATTAAAATTCTCAATTTTTCTTCAAATCAACACCACTTTTTTTTCACGAAAATCGATTCTACAATGCATCCTTCATATCCCGGATCGATTACATCTCGTGGCCGGGGCATATTAAGCCTACCAGAGGGAGCGAAAGTTACCTATACGAAACTCACATGGAAATTTGAAAATTAAATTACTCAATTTTTCTTCAAATCAACACCACTTTTTCTTCACGAAAATCAATTCTACAATGCTTCCTTCATATCCGGGATCGATTACATCTCATGGCCGGGGCATATTAAGCCTACCAGAGGGAGCGAAAGTTACCTATACGAAAAGCACATGGAAATTTGAAAATTAAAATTCTCATTTTTTTTTCAAATCAACACCACTTTTTTTCACGAAAATCAATTCTACAATGCTTCCTTCATATCCGGGATCGATTACATCTCGTGGCCGGGGCATATTAAGCCTACCAGAGGGAGCGAAAGTTACCTATACGAAAGTCACATGGAAATTTGAAAATTAAAATTCTCAATTTTTCTTCAAATCAACACCACTTTTTCTTCACGAAAATCAATTCTACAATGCTTCCTTCATATCCGGGATCGATTACATCTCATGGCCGGGGCATATTAAGCCTACCAGAGGGAGCGAAAGTTACCTATACGAAAAGCACATGAAAATTTGAAAATTAAAATTCTCATTTTTTTTCAAATCAACACCACTTTTTTTCACGAAAATCAATGCTACAAAGCTTCCTTCATATCCGGGATCGATTACATCTCGTGGCCGGGGCATATTAAGCCTACCAGAGGGAGCGAAAGTTACCTATACGAAAAGCACATGGAAATTTGAAAATTATATTACTCAATTTTTCTTCAAATCAACACCACTTTTTCTTCACGAAAATCAATTCTACAATGCTTCCTTCATATCCGGGATCGATTACATCTCGTGGCCGGGGCATATTAAGCCTACCAGAGGGAGCGAAAGTTATCTATACGAAACGCACATGGAAATTTGAAAATTAAAATACTCAATTTTTCTTCAAACCAACACCACTTTTTTTTCACGAAAATCAATTCTACAATGCTTCCTTCATATCCGGGATCGATTACATCTCGTGGCCGGGGCATATTAAGCCTACCAGAGGGAGCGAAAGTTACCTATACGAAAAGCACATGGAAATTTGAAAATTAAAATTCTCAATTTTTCTTCAAATCAACACCACTTTTTTTTCACGAAAATCGATTCTACAATGCATCCTTCATATCCCGGATCGATTACATCTCGTGGCCGGGGCATATTAACCCTTAATTACTCGCATGAAGAACATTACATAACTGCTCGCATGGGGTCACAGGTGACCCCAAGTTGTAGGATATTTTTTTAATATATATTAAATATAAAATGAAATCAAACTATTTTATTATTAAAGGGCTTTATTTATATTATGATATTTAAGAGAAATAACATGAATTACTATCTAATGAAAAAAATGAGCTTATATAAAATAATAGTTGAAAATTAACAATTTGTACTTATATCAAGAGATCAAGGCAAATTTTTATGATTATGTTAGGAACTATCCGAATCACTTTTCTTGCACTGGTGACAGTATATGTCTGAGTGATCATTGCACACAAATTTTGTGCACTTTTTGCATTTAGTCAATACTTTTCGATCACTTTTCCGCGGGCAGTTGTTGCAACGCCCACGTTTTGCAGTGGTTGGTGGGGCGCGGTTGTCCAAGTCATGAACTTCTATAAGTCGTTTCTTTATTACTTTAGGAGTTGAATGGACGCCTCATGTGAGTACGTGATTTAGTGGTATTTGCCCGATGTACAACGAGAGCATTTATGCATGCAACGTTTATAAGATGGAAGAAAATAGCTAACGGCCATCGTTTGGTTCGCCTTCCTGCGCTGTATGTACCACACAAATGATCATTGGTGTCCACTCCTCCTTTAGTGCTGTTGTAATACATAATTATTCCAGGCTTCTGCTGATCACCTGAACCTGGGCCGATGTAAGCTCCATGGTGCATGGAGGATAACAACACAACAGCTTGATTTGGTTTTGGCACATTTGAAACCATGGTTAGAGTCTTTTGAAATCCGAACAGACAGCTGAATTGACTTCTGTCTGGTAAAATCTCCTCAGGTATATCGGGTTTGTTTTTCTTCAGTGTTCCAACGAAACATCTCTACACCGGTTCCGTCGGTGGCCCAGAGATCTATGAAATTGAGATGTGAAGCTCTCAACACTCCAGACATGATCAACAAACCCAGCAATGCTTTTATTTCTTCAACGTCTGTATCTTTTGCGTCACGTTCCCTTTGAAACTTGCCTCTGTCGACTTCGATGTACTGATTTGTACATTTTACCAGCAAATTGATAATGTCATCAGAAAAAAACAAACTAAAACATTCCAAAGCAGTCTTTGCGGATTTCGCTGATGACTTGACACAGGGTAAGTGTAAAGTTATATTATGTCTTCGTGTTCTTGCGGAGCTTGTTGGTGGAGACTTTGACCATTTTTGTTTAGGACCGTTTCTGCCATTATGTCTGGTAAAATAGAATTTATCATACTGCCCTGCACAGCCGTCGTCCTCGTTGTCTGAAGACTCACTGGAGTGTGCGGACAATTCGTCGATTTCACTAGCACTATTATATCGCTTTGTGTTATCTCGTCTAACTCCGACTCAGAAGTTGACCCTCCAACTTGTTCTTCATCAGAAGCCTCAACCAACCAGTTCTCAATTTGTTCTCTTCTATCCATGACGAATTCTGGAAACAGACACAAAACTCATAGTTAAAACGTAATTTTTCGGTACTTTCATTTTATAAAACTACACAAAACATATTTATTAAATAAATTTATAAACTGGACATTCAATAATACAAATCGGATCAATAAAACACAAAAAAATACATAAAATAAGCAACTTACCTTTTTCAAAAAAGTAACGTAATTAGTCGCACGGGGTCACTACTCAAAAGCGCAACGACGTGTCCTTAGACTCCTGTGACATCGTCGCTACTAAAACACAAACGTCGACGCGCGGTCTCAAGCTAGCGGGGGCGCGGGGAAATTAGGACCGCGGGAAATCCTTCGTTTTTGAATGCGAAACTGATTTGACCCCATGCGAGTAATTAAGGGTTAAGCCTACCAGAGGGAGCGAAAGTTACCTATACGAAAAGCACATGGAAATTTTATCTACTGGCCTCCCAAAATACTGAATTGCAACGTTGTATTAGGGCGAAAGACAGGATAAAAAGCCTTACTGATACTGGAGGGTTATGTCGGAGCAATAAATTATAGATAAAAGGAACCGCATTCTATAGAGGCGCGTGGCTTGGTTTAGTTGTCTCCAGTGGCGGTGGGCTATTGCCGTTGATGAGGTGTAGGCTTAATTAAGTTCAAAATATGGTATGATTTTCAAAGCAGACTACATCTTTATTTCTAATATATCTCCAGGCTTTTGAAAAGGAAAATATTTTTCAAATTTCAATATTCAGGGAGAAGCAGGTTGTTTGATTAATTCTGGTATGGTAGGTTGGATGTTTGGTATTGAATAAACAAGCCGTAGTTAACTAGGAAACTGAACATTCACATCTAACATGTAAATATGAAAACCGTTTACTTTACGAAATTAGCGCTGGCTATTTATCCTTCTTGCAACTAATTTCATTAGCTCTGAAAAGTATTTCACCAGTATTCAGTTTAACCACTTTCCGTGTCTATACAAAACTGCATTTTGGTCTACATGCTACTTACTTTGTACACATACTGGTAGGTTCAGCCACTTTAAGCAGAAATCCAAGTATATAGAATTTTTGCTTTTCCAGAAATCCTCCCAATGCTAATACAAACAATTATGATCAGTTATGATTCATTAAATTTATTCATATGTGACTTCCTAGTTTAGACCGATGACGGGAATTTTAAAGGTGCCTATAAAAGTGATTTGTAGGAGCCACTGTTGTGGTTGATTTCGCGATAGTAATCGTTTCCTGTAGATTGAGATACTGCTCAACCAGTGGTGTTATCCAGAAAAAGATCTGGGAGGAGGCTCAAGATCCAGGGTCGTGGAGATAGAAAACTGCATAGCAGGGGGGGGGGAACTCGCTTAGTCCAGGTAGCATACTTCACAGAAGGTATAACATGCTGTAATATGTAGAAGAAGCCTAATGAGCTGTTACGCTTCGGGAAGGGAAACTCCGAGGAGCCCCAAATCCCTCCCTTGAATACGCCGGTGTGCCCATACCAGAATAGAAACAGAGGCGTAGGGTCTGTGGGTCTAGCTCAAAGAGTTCCGCCATTCTTTCTAATATCATTGGGTTTGCATCCAACCAGCCTCGGCGACGAAGCAAATAAGAAATAAATAAAGTCCTTCTTGATTAAATTTACAACTTGATGCATTAATTAATGAAATTATCCCGTTTTTAGTCATAAAATGCTACCAGACATTTGAGAAAAAAAATAATATTTTAAATTTCAATAGGCATTAAGAGTAATTCATGTAATTTTTTCTTATGAATGTGGAAGTGGAACAACCAGCGGGTACGCTAATGCAGTCGGCGGCGCGGCACCTCAAAGACAAACGCTGTATTTTGTGTTTTTGGCTCACAAAGAGATTGACAGTAGCTAGTAAAAAAAAGTCGTATTTTTCTATTTGACTCTTACGTTTAGTGGATTTAGCATTTAGAAGGCTGGCTATTATTATATTTTTTTATACCTCCAATCGCATCCTAAGAAAAAAATTCGGGCTGATTTTTTGTTCTTTTTCCTGTTGTGCTTTTTGTCACTGCAAGCAAACTGTAGCTAAGCTTTTTGAAGTTAGTGAGACTTCGCTTTGAAATGATATTCCCAACTTGGGGGAATAGGACGGAGGTTTTTTTCAGTGTACTCGTATAGTACAGAAACATTTTCACTGTATACTGGAAATCTATTTTGAATAACAATATGTCATTTTTTTAGACTGCTACGTGGCCCGTATTAGATTTTTATAAAAATGTGTTTGTTTATTTGTTACTTTTGTTTATGGATTTATAGAGAAACTGTTTTTTTTTTGAGAATTTTAGATTGATTTATTACTTGTTTGTATTTTAACTCGTATTTTAAAGGGTATTATTTTTGTTTTAATTGCATGGAATTGACTGTTTGTTTTTATTATTTTATACTATACACTATGCACCGGCGGGTCTTCGGCGATCTAGTTCTTTTCTGCCGCTACACCAACGGACTTTGCTCCTCGGAGCTCTCTTCCATGATGCAGCCGCGCGATGTGCCTGTCAGATAGACCCGCCTAACTTTGACGTCCCATCCTAACCGTGTCGAGCTTCGTTCATCCAGAACTGGGCGATACGACCGCCCCTTTGTCCCGAGAGTTTTGAGACTGTGGAACAATCTACAAGAGGAAGCTTTTCCCAGTTCTACTAACCTTAGTTCAAAAATCGTATTAACAAAATTTCTTTGGGACCATCATAGCAGCCGCGGTGTTTCGGCATTTAGGCTTGTGCCTGCGCGACTGCTTCGATATATAATATAGGTATATATATATATATATACCTGTATAGGTGAAAAATTAAAGCTTCCGCTTTTTGTTGGGTACTTCGACAAGATTTAAGCAAAGAGGACTCTTTATACTTTTTTTAATTCTCTCTAGCTTTCAATGGACTTTGCCATCATCATCAGGAGCTGTAATTACAATGATAACAGTAGCAACAAAGGTGTAAAATGAATTTAAATTGACTCAACTTACAGTAGTATGTGAGAATGTTGCTAATTGTTGTTTTCGTATAGGATGAGGGAAACGTCCAGTAACATGGTGAGAGCTGAATAGGTTGCACAATAGTCAAAATTTATACAAAACATGACAGAAACACGTTAAAAACAGATTAAAAATTATTTTAAAAAATTAAAACATTACATCGTGAAACCACCTGATGATTGCACAAATTAGTGGTCATGGAATGATGAATTGATGAGTGACATGAAACCCTTTGACAGAAGGCCGAAGGAGGTCAATGTCAGTATTGAAAGATGGAACGAATTGTGGGCGTGTGCCAAAAACGTTGCCAAATCACTTCAGATGAAGAGATTTTCAGAATTTTATGATGGAATTTGTTAAACCGACCAGAGGCAGTTGAATAAACTATATTATTATTAATGGGAATTTAAATTAACAATTATTAATAAATCGTGAGGAGAGAATTATTATATTTTGAGTGGAATGAAATTTACTGGTGGAACCGGCCAAAACACAGATTCTAATTATGGTTGTGAAGAGTTGAAATTTGGGGAGATATGTAAGTTCTCCAATTTTTCGCAGTTTAGCAAATATGAGTAAATGACACTCAGTTGTTTAACATCTGTCTTTTTGTTGATACAGTTGTTATTCATGAAAATGTGGGACATTTCCAGGAATAAACGTTTGGAAAGGTGTTTTTCTTTATCAAGAACTTTGATACTTGTGTAATTCATAGAATGCCCTGTTGTGTTAACATGAGATGCTAGAGCGTATCTTTCAGGATGAAGCCTAGCATCACTTTTGTGTGATGTAATCCTTCCTTTAAGAGATCTGGAGGTCTGACCTATGTATATTTGGTTGCAGTTGTTGCAATTGATGGAGTAGACTGTGTTGGTTAAGCCAAGCAGCGGGACTTTGTCTTTCATTTTTGAAAAAATGCAGTTTATAGTGAGGACGGATTTGCAAGCAATTCGAAAGTTCAAAGGACTGCACAATCTGATCAGCTTAGGGGTCAGTTCCTTGATGTAGGGCAGGACAGCAAAACCAGGTCTGGAGTCCGGGTTGGTGCTAGTACTGTTAGGATTGATGTTATTATTGGGAATTACATCAGTTCCGTTATTAGGGGTTGTGCGACTATTACCTGCATCACCAGAGTTCGGCAAAATATTGGAAGGTGAACTAAAAATGATCTTGTTAATCAGACACTTCGGATAACCATTATTGATGAACAGTTTTGATAGTTTACGTAAATTTGAGGTGTGGAAGGTATTATCTGAGATGCTGATTACCCTTGTTTTCATCTGTTTTACCAAATTGATTTTAATCCCTAGCTTATGGTATGACCTAAAATTGAGAAACCGACCTGAGGCCATAGGTTTCTGGTACCAGTCTACCAATAAACTGTTGTTGTTGGTGCGAATGAGTCTTGTCTCTAGAAAGGGGACAGACAGGTTCTCATCTTCTTTTTCAATGGTAAATTGGATGTAGGGGTCATAGCTGTTGAATTCTCTGACAATACCATCCAGACCTATGGAAGGGAGGCATAAAATAATGTCATCTACGTATTTTTTTATGAAGAAGAGGTTATAGGGTAGTGTCGGAATAACTGTATCAAGCAGATCATCCATGACATATTCCGCCAAAATTGGTGACAGAACAGATCCCATAGGACAACCATGTGTTTGAGAATATATTTTGTTGTTGAAAGAGAAATAATTGTTATGAAAAAGGAATGTTATAATGTTGGTGAAAGATTCTAGAGATATGTTGCAGTGTTGACTTATCTCATTCCAGTGTTTATTAATAGTTCTTGTACATGCATCCAGATAGATGTTGCTGAATAGCGACACCACATCAAGACTGGCGATAATATGATCGGCTGGTATTGTCAATCTATTGAACTGACGAGAGACCTCAAATGAGTCTTTGATGTAGTAATCATTGTCTGCATGTGCTGATTTTAGTGTTGTCGATATTAATGAAGACAAAGCCTGGGTGGCTGAACCTATTGATGCAACTATAGGTC